TTTAATGTGAAAGTCACGGTTCAGTGGAACCTACATGAGGACATTGTAGTTCTATAAGTAGTTTTAAAGCCAGTTGAAAAGTCATTTTATTGGTTTTTGCTTTTTTTATGGAGAGTTTTTGTGCCCTGTTCTGTATGTTTAATTTACAATAATAATGAATTACATTTGTATAGCGTTTTATCATAGATACTCAAAGCCCTTCACAGTGAAGTGGACTCACCTCAACCACCACCAATGTGTAGCACCCACCTGGGCGGAGAGGGAGGGAAACATTGAGCCAATTACTATGGGGGATGATTAGATGGCCAGATGGTGAAAGCCAGGTTTGGGAATTTTGCCATGGCACCGGGGAACCCCCTATTCTTTGCGACAAGTGCCGTGGGATTCTTTAATGACCACAGTGAGTCAGGATCTCGGTTTAACGTCTGATCCGATGGACAGCAGCTTCTACAGCGCAGTGTCCCCATCACTGCACTGGGATCTTATATTTAGGACCAGAGGGAAGACCGCCCCCTACTGGCCCACCAACACCACTTCCAGCAGCAACTTACTTTTCCAAGGATGTCTCCCATCCAGGTACTGGCCAAGCCCAAACCTGCTTAGCTTCCGGTCAATCAGCAGTAGCCGGCTTTACATTGGTATGGATGCTGGCACACAAACAGTGGTATGTGTTTCTGTTTTAGCTGTGACCTGCCGATGGATGCAGATGGAAATTAGGTTTAAGCTAACTCTGGAGAAATAGGCTACATCAAATGGTAATGTTTATGGTTAATATTCCCTTACACGTAAAATGAAATGAAATCAAGTAAATAAAACCTGCCAACCTCTCTGAGACTTCAGGAAGTGGCAGAGTCACAGTGCCCGGCTGCTATCCAACAATTTTGGCTCTTCATAGCAGGAAAAGCAGAGGTGTAACTGACACCATTAAAGATGACTGCTGGCTCACTGTCCCGGCTTACTGGGACATTTAATGGCATCGCTAATGAAATTTGTCTCACCTTTCAGAATGTCTAAAGTGAAAAAGGTCTATTTTTTCAGCAGGAAAACTTCCCCTAAAACCACAACGTACCTTTTTTACATTTCTGTTTTTCATATAGATTAAACAAACCAAGTACAACATGTTATTCAGTGAGCTTTAAGGGTGTTGTAGTGGCAAATTCCACACATACAGTCCCTGAGGGTTGCATATAATTGACACGCTTTCCCAACCACCATAGCCTACTAGTGCCTGATAAAATAATTATTTGCTCTTGCCTTTTTTGTTCCAATTTATTGTTTGCCAGTGCTGGTGTTCAGGTGTATGCAATAGTCCAAAATACATTCTGTGAACATTATTTATTTATTTATCTTCTCATTAAACACTGTACGGCTCGCCCATTCCAAGTGAAACGGTAAAAAAAAACTATTGGTGCTCCCCTCTGTCCAGCAACACCTGTCGTAAGAAGTTCCTGCTTAAATTGCCTTTGACGCAAAGCAGACAGATGACACCTAGTGGACCCATTAGTGTTCTGCACCCACACAAAACCCCCCTCAAATGGCTCTCACAGGTTGTTGGAGTCACTTTGGACAGGACAGGCTGCTGTTTCCCCTGGCATAGTCTTTATGCTAAGCTAGGCTAACCATGTCCTGATTCCAGCTTGGTGCAAAACACAGACGTGAGATTGATATCCGTTTTCTCACCTCACTTGCAGAAGGAAAGCAAAGGACGGTATGTCCCCAAATTCTGAACCATGCAAGTCACCAACCCATCACAGTAGCCACCCAGCCACAGCCCGTTCACCCTGCTGCCTTCTGGGAAGAGATACAGAGCAGCGTTTCCCCCAAGCTATCAGACTCTTAAACTCAAAGTCATCCTCTGCACTGCTGCTCTGAATATAGTTTATTTCTGTTTACCATTTTAATAATTGCTTTTGTATAACTGCACATTGTCTGCTACGTAGCAGAAGGGAGTTAAAAACTCAATTTGACTTTACAACTTGTTGTAATGCGAGTTGTGTCAGTTGTATTTAGTTGACAGTACAGGACAAATGTGCAATGCTAACTGCTACTAAAATTACAATATCTTGTTGGAAGATGATGCTTTCTCTTAAGTTTCCCTCTGCCTCCAGTCTTTCTGCTCAGCCTGGCTAAACACATCCTGGACTTATCTCTGCGCTGGACACACAGAGAGATGAAACTGATATCCCTCTGACTCTGGGGAGAAGAAGGTAAACAAACATATCCCACTAAATGTCTGAATACTCCTTTAATATGTTTGAATCTCACCCACTCCTCCGTGTTGTGTTTCTGTGATTACATTTCTCAGTTCAGCCGGTGAATCGAGGCTGTCGGTGAAGCAGCTCTGCGGCTCGCTGAATGTCATCAGCGATGCAGCAGGCAGTCAGCGGGCCCTATCCATCAAACACAGTCACCTGGGAGCTCCACCTGTGTGCTCACAGACAGGCAGGGAGCAGCATGCAGATTAAACAAACACCCCCCTCCCTTCACTGCCTGAAGGGGGGTGGAGATATGAATTATTCACTAACAGACACACACATACACACATAGTGGTGGAAGACATATTCAGATCCTATACTGAAGTAAAAACACTTTTACCACACAGTGGAAATACTAAAACAAGTAAAAGTACTGCATTAAAAACCTTAATTAAATAAAGTATTATCAGCAAATGTGTTTCACTATCTGATGTTTCTGGATTAATATTACATTTATTGATTTAGCTGACGCTTTTATCCAAAGCGACTTATAATTGCTATATATGTCACATGGAGCAACGAGGGGTTGAGTGTCCTGCTCAGGGACATTCAAACACGGGTCTCTCACACCAAAGGCATGTGTCTTATCCTCTGCGCCATCACCACCCTACTGCTGCATGTTGCATTTTAGTGCTGTAGACGTTTAGATGAGCTCATTTTAACTACTTTATATATTGATGGGTAGTTTAATCTGCAGCAATGCATCATATTCTCTAAGATCATCATATGTTTGTAGCGTCGCTGTCCTGTGAGAACCACATATCTCTAAGAAGTCAGCCTGTTTCCAGCTTTGTGACGGTGCTTTTTCCAGCTATCAACACATCTGGAGGTACATGTTTCTAACTGGAAAGGAAGGGGATGAAAAGAAAATGTAATCTGAAAAGTAACTAAAGCTGTCAGATAAATGTTGTGGAGTAAATTGTACAATATTTGCCTATGAGATGTAGTGGAATAGAGATATAAAGTTATACTTAATAAAGTACAAGTACTACAAATTTGTAGGCCTACTGACGTTGTAAGATGGTTGAAAAGGAGCTAATTTGATCCACTTTATAAATAGGCCTACTTGGATAGTTCTACCTACGACAGTAAATGCTGTGAAATTCAAGTATAAAGTGGCACAGAAATGGAAATACTAAGTAAATAAGTATAGTATTTGGGTAAACGTACTCAGTAACAATGTTATTTTCTTAAAACAAGTAAGATAAATCTGTATGTTCAATATATTTCCAACTCAAAACAACTTTACTTTTCAGGAGGCAGACACCATCTCCACATTTAAGAGTAGGCTTATACTTTCCTCTTTGATAAAGCTTATAGTTAGGGCTGGCTCAGGTGAGTCCTGAACCATCCCTTAGTTATGCTGCTATAGGCCTAGGCTGCCGGGGGATTTCCCATGATGCACTGAGCTCCTCTCTACTCTACTTTCTCTCCCTCTGTATGCAACCTCATCACATTAATACAGGTTACTAACTCGACTTCTCCCCTTTCCGGTAGTCTTGTGCTTTCTCGTCTCTCTCCTCTCTCCTCCTATCACTTCCTGCAGGTGTTTTTGGCTCTGAAGCTGTGGAGTCTGGATCTGTGGTTGCGAGTCACCTGCTGCCCCCGTGTTCCTGCTCGGCACCCTCTGCTACAACAACTATTGTTACTAGTCCTATTGTTATTATTGTTATTATAATCATTAACATTACGACTGTTACCATTAACACTACTATAAATATCTGTACCATTTTTCATTTAGTCTATAGCAACATCACCTTTACTGTCCTCTGTGTGTATATTGTGTAGGCTGCCTCCCTCTCTCTCCTTTCATCCCTCTCTTTTTCTCTCTGTTCCTCTCCTGCCCTCTCTCTCTCTCTCTCTCTCTCTCTCTCTCTCTCTCTCTCTCTCCCTCTCTCTCCCTCACCCCAACCGGTGGAGGCAGATGGCCGCCCACCCTGAGTCATGGTTCTGCTCGAGGTTTCTGCCTCTTAAAGGAAGTTTTTCCTTGCCTCTGCCGCCTAGTGCTGCTCTTGGTGGGAACTGTTGGGCTTCTGTAAATAGCATCATAGAGTACGGTCTAGACCTGCTCTTTATGAAAAGCGCTGTGAGATAACTGTTGTTGTGATTTGGCGCTATAGAAATAAAATTGAATTGAATTGAATTGAATTACTGTCTCAGAACAAGACAGAATAATTTGGATCAATTCAATTAAGTTTTATTGGCATGAATGTCCAGCAACAATATTGCCAAAGCTACAAATAAATTACAAAAGAACAATTCATTTCATACAGTTCATTAAATAAAGTAAATATAACAGTAAAAGCGTTTGTGTATGTTGGTGTAAAAGATATCAAAAAAAAAAATAAATAACTAAACAAAACAGTAAGTGTGTGTGTGTGTGTGTGTGTGTGTGTGTGTGTGTGTGTGTGTCTTTGTACGCCATAGGTCCAATATAAGAAGTAATTTTATGTTTAGGATTAAAAAAGAAACAACAATATATTAATAAACAACAAAAAAAATCAGAATCAAATGTGAAATTAAAAAAAACAAATAAAACTTTTCAAGAATCAACAGATAATTTCCACAAAATACTAATACACGGAGGATTAGTTTGAACATACTGATACTGCAATATAATTATGATATTTTAATATTATTAGCTATTTAAATAATTGAACTTTTGAAAGCCCGTTCCTACGCTTTTAATTTGAAAGCTTCGACAGCAGAGCAACCACAGGAAGTCTTTTATTTCGAAGGTCACGACGGAAACCTTTGTGGCTGGTGTTGAGAGTTTAGCTAACAGTGCTAACAGCTCGTCGCATTACATGATTTAAAGTGCTGCAGAGTCGGTAGTAATGTCGCATTTAACCTCCCCGACTTGTAGATACCCTGCACACTGATAAAACGTTGACTTTAATAAACGTCGAGCTTGAATCTTAAGTCTGAAATATGATTTCGTTGGCAGCTAACGTTAGCTACCTAGCCAGCTAGCGTTAGCGCTCGGTTGCCAGACAACAGAGGAGGAAGCCAAACAAACCTGGCTGGCAGCTAACAGGCTAGCGGGAGCTAATTAGCCAAAAGAGGCCAAGACTTGATTTTGTGGTATTTAAACATTTCGTTGTATGACTGGCAGCTGGTAAACTAACCTGATGGCGGATGAAGGGAGACGAGGAGACGAAGACGAACGCGGTCCCGGAGCAGCTCATCAGGTGTTTGTGGTGATGGAGTGTTTGCTGGAAAAGTTGAAGGTGTTGAACTACGAGGAGGAAGTTCTGGCCAAACACAACATGAAACACCTGTCCAGGTGAGAGATGACCTTACAGTGACAGTCCCTGTACAATAACGTTAACCCAGTAACTCTGACTGCAATCATCCCCCTGTTGACTTATTATTATTTATGCGTTATTTTGTAAATCAGTGCTGTTCATATTGTATATGGCCTACAGTACAGATCATATCCGCTTATCACTCCAGCATCCTTTGTCTCAATCTCTCAACATTGTTGTTGTTTTGTTGTGTGTGTTCTGTTCTGTTTACTGCAGTCTGTTCCAAGATAAACCAGCTACAGCTTTAATTTCACCTGAGTTTATCACTCACAGTTGCTACCTGATGAGTGAAAACTTGGAGTTTATAATGTCCTGATTATAAGTGTGGTTTTATTACTACACGGGGCTAGTAGGAGTGGAACAATCTGTGTCCACGTTTGAAGTTCAGCTGTTTACAAGAACTGTGAGGATTTGAGTCTCAGGGTTTGGTCTAAAACAATCTGGGGAAAAATCATAGTTCAAGCACAATCAAAATTTCTCAATTTCTTCATTACGTAACGTTACCTGTAATGGACATTTGGTGACCTACAAAAGTCTTGCGCGGTTTGTTGTCCAAAGTCTTTTCTTAATTTTTTTTAATGAAAGTTTAAAATCATATATGAAATTCAGTACTGTACTGTATTTCAGGTCTATTCAAAATAGTTTAGATATGTTTGCACACCATTTTTCTATTTCCAACATTTTATTTCAGCTTCATAGAAACGTAAACATTGTTCTTTATTAAAATAACTAAATAAAATAAATACACATTACACACTGTTATTTTAAGTGGTGTTGTGGCACTGTAATAATGATCTTCATAATAATAATAAAAATAATGATAACAACCTTTCATTTATGTTGCAACCTTCAAAACAAAGTTACAAAGTGCCTTACAGGAGGAGAAACAAAATGCAGGAGTTGATGATCTTCCCTCTGTTTTCCCCCTTCAGACATTACTTTGTCTCCAGTCCGTATCTGGCGTTCAATTCGGGCGAGCAGTTCTACATGTTCACCATCATCGCAGCGTGGCTCATCAACGCGGCAGGGAGGCCGTTCACCGAGCCTCAGGAGTACGACGAACCCAACGCCACCGTGTCCAACATCCTGGCAGAGCTCAGGGCTTTCGTAAGTGACGCTTAACCACTCAGCTCTGTGTGATGTGACTCCCGATGTAAGATCAGTTTTAGTCGTTAATTAAATCCTGACATTTGGACATTTTTGACGGAACACTGTTCAGAATGAAGTAGGGCTGCACCATATTGGGGAAAAACTGACATGGATTTTTTTTTTTTTTTCTGGGAATTTTCACCAGATGACTGCAGTTGCTCTATTTGAAAAGAATTAGGCACCCTAGAATTACTGGGGTGACTTTGCAGGGGTAAATGGATAGAAAATAAAAATAACTAAGCTGAAAATGTCTTTTTAGTCTGAAGAAAGGATGGTTTGAGTGCAAAACGATGTATTGTGCAGCCTTAGAATGAAGGCTAAAAGCTTTTGAGTAGAGTCAAATAAAGTTTGTGAGGTCCTGGATTCAGATTTGGAGGTGAGGTAAGTTATTTTTATAGAAACGAATCAACCATATGCATATAAAGACAGGTACGAGGTAGGGCTGGCAGTCTGACCATTTAATATCGACAATCAACATCACGATCAATTTCCTGGGTGAATTCTTTATGGTTGAACAGTTGATCACTTAACAATTCAGAGGCAGAACATTAAAAACAATTGATAAAATATTTTGAACACATACGCATGAGTAAAATTAAGTACAATCTTTTTTCAGTCCAATAAAAATAAATATCTTTATTGGAAAATTATTCAAATTAATTACATCAAACATTTATTGAACATTTGTTATGTTATTGAGGAAAATTATATCACAATAATTATCATTTCTATTTTATTGCTTAGCCGTAGTACAAGGCTTCAAATGCTAAACAGACAAAAAATAAAAATCAACTCTGTCACACAGACTTGGTTCCACTTGGTTTTCATTTCTCACATTTTGTCACTAAACTGGGTGTCTGCGTCATATAAGAAAAACTCTCACACTTGTCTTTGATTAAACTTGACAGACGAACACTGAATAAAACAGTTGAACGTAATGATGAATAAAATATTTCTGTGCTTTTGATCCTGACCTCAAACTCAGCAGACTCCTCACTGTTAGCGGCTGTTATATAGTAAGAACTCAGAGATATGAGCGTATAGGAGACTTATTTGACTCATCACTGTGTCTTTCAGGGTGTTAAGGTGGACTTCCCGCCCTCCAAACTGAAATCAGGTTCGGGCGAACACGTCTGCTTCGTGCTGGACCGACTGGCTGAAGAGGCTCTGAGGAGAAAGGGGTTCACCTTCAGAAGGTACTCAAACATTTCTCCTCTACTCACCTCTCTAGAGCAAACCTAATGTTTCCTGTCTTCCAGGCCTTAGGGCCTGTGTCCACCAAAGCCAGCTGGGAGCGCTAGAGTGCGCTTCAGAGGCGCGGCGTTTTTTTGTCGAGACGCTGTGGTTGCTATGAGACATAATTTCCGTGGAGATGATTTGCTGCAAGCATGTAGAGAGAGGGGACGGGCTGGCCGTACGTCGGTCAACGATATTTTACGGGCAAGGAAATAACTCGGCAAGGACGCACATCGTTTCGTTTGTCCCGCCCCTCCTGCATTGTGATTGGACGGCTGGGTTAAAAGTGACAGTGATGAGCGCTGCGTTTTCCTAATGTTAAACATTTTTCAACTCTCAGCGACCGGGAAAAAAACGTTCAGGACTCAGCACTCAGCGGAGAAAAGACGCTCAGCTTCTCGTCACGCTACTGGCCTCAGGAAAAAACGCTTTGGTGGACACAGGCCCTTAGTATGGTTGGTATCGAGAACAAGTTCCAAGCTGGAAGTTTTACCAAAGGTCCAAGAATGGTGGATTTAAAAAGACCTGTGCGTTTGGATTCTACTTATCGGTAAAGATGAATCTTAAAGGAGCCCTTTGGAGCTTCCTTGTAAACAACTTATGTTTACTTTCAGGTCCACTATCAAAACCCATAGTGTGTTTCCTTACGGTCTAACAAATGTGTTGAGTGTATTTCCTTTCCCATAAAACATTTTCCAAATTCCAAAGGATTTTAAATCCATCCATTACATCCATGTTTATTTGCTTGCAGTCTTCTTCTTCCCTGCCTTAGCTAGTGCATTGCACACTTTCTGGTACAGAAATTGAAGAAGTGTCACATTCTAAATACTTGGCATTACCATTGCATGTCCAAGATTTGGTTCAAAAACTGAAATTGAAGTTAGGTTTTATTTTAGAATCAAGTCCTGTTTATCTTTTGAAGCCAAAAAACAACTTGTAAATGCAACATTCTTGTCTGTCTTGGACTATGGTGATATTTTATACATGCATTCAACCTCCCAGTGTCTTCATGCTTTGGACACCGTGTTTCATGGAGCCTTGAGATTCATCACAAACTTAAAATCTCTCACTCTGTGACTCTGTTTGCTGTATTCTCGGGTCGGGTGGTTCTCCCTCTCCATTCGCCGTTGGATGCATTGGCATCTTTTTATTTATAAGGCAGTGTTAGGACTTCTTGCTCCTTATCTGAAGACTTACATCCTCACCTGCGCTCACAGGATCTGTTTTTATTGACTGTCCCTAAAGCCCCGAACTGACTTTGGCAAAAAGGCTTTTAATTTTGCAGCACCATCTGCGTGGAATCAGCTTCAGAATGAACTACAGTTGAAGGAGTTGGTCTCACTTTATTCTTTTAAAGGCCCTTGCAGAAAGGCAGTCTGTCTGTCACTGTTTTTAAATTGATTTATGATGTCATTGTTGTTTGAATATGATGAGTGTGTCTATATATTTACCTGTAAGTGTCTCTGTATCTATGTGTAACCGCGCTGCTGCCACTTGCCAGGACACTCTTGTAAAAGAGATTTTTAATCTCAAGGAGTTTTTTTATCCTGGTTAAATAAAGGTTTGAATGAATGAAAAAATAGCCGCATACTATCTTGGCGCATTACCTGCAACTGTAGAGCAGTGGAATAGTTTCACTCATGTGTCATGTGGACGTCTTCATGCATGATAAACAAGCCGGGGACCCGCTCATAGAAAAACTGCTCCATAGGGCTACTAATGATCTAAAACTCCACGGGGAACCTTTTAATCTACAGGGTCACATAGTGAAGACAGCAGGGGCGTGCAGAGTATGCAAATCATACTGAACCATGAATTAATTATTTATCATCTCCTTTTATCTAGGAGAAGCTGATTGTGTCCGTGTCTTCTGACGTACTGTCCTTTTTTTTTTTTTTGGCCCCCAGACCAAACTACCCAACAGAAACCACAGAAGAAGAGTCTGTGATAGAGGACGACGCAGAGCTCACGCTCAGCAAAGTGGAGGAGGAGATGATCGTAGGTGTCCCAACTTTATTTAACTGTACACGTAACACTTCCAATCTTTTAAATATTTAAATCCAAATGTTGTTTTTAACATTATGATCCGTGTCTTTTTTTATTTGTGCTTCTGTTACTGAAATATTGAAATGAGTGTGCCATCAGATTCTGTGACTCTGCAGGAAAAAGGGCTGCTGTTACAAGCTAAAAAAGACAGCCGATAGATTTATCAATGAAGGAAGGGATCACAAATTTTGGGTACAGCTATGAAATTGTGAGCAGCTTTGCAGCGACAGTACAGCTGAGTTTTATAATCGCTGTCTCAGAATCTGGCAGGTCACAGGTTTCAATGCAACTGTTGTTCCAACCTGAGTTTTAGGACAAACACCAAAATGAAAAATTTTAAATGTTTTGTTGGCTTTGTCTGAATACGGTTTAAAATGAACCAAGATAAGGATTTGAATAAGGTAATATCTGATGATTTACAACAGTATTTTCTTTGAAGCTTGTTGGAACATTGTTATAAAACCTGTGTGCAGGAGGAGCCTGACGATGAAGAGGAGAATGTGATGGACCTGGAGGCTCTGAAGTTACGAACCACTCGCACTGTGAGTTCACATGGAAATGTGATGCTTTTAAAAACATTTTGTCTGTAGGATTTTGTTCGCACTTGACTCACAGCTTCATTTTGAGCCAGCCTTAAACAGGACTTTGAAGCAGTTCTCCTTCAGCTCTATGAATCTGAATTGTGCCACACTTTAAGATAAAATGTGTTCTTGGTTCTCTGACAGGAAGTAGAACCTTCCTCCAAACCTGATGAGATCCTGGAGTCGACGATTGATGCCGCAGAGTGGAACCTGGAGGTGGAGAGAGTCCTGCCACAACTCAAAGTCACCATCAGAACAGACAACAAGGTACACACTAGCCTGAGCATCGCCTTTATCTGAAAGGTTGGAGGTGACTCCTGACCTGATCAGTTTTAATCGGTTTAGTTGTTTTTGGCTAATTAGATCCTGGCGTGTGGACCGACCTGCTCATGTGGGCCGCGTGGGGCCCAGTAGGTGCTGCTATGAGTATGAGTGACTATTGGCCTGTAGTCTCTTATCAAATTTGGTACAGATCTGAGCACGTACAGTGAAGTTACAACAACTTCCTGTTTAATGGCGAAGCATCAAACTTCAACGCCACGCCACAGACACGGCGCTAAGCAAGATCTCACAAGCTTCACAACAGAGCATCATCAGCTTCTTAAGGGTCTTCTGAGACTGTTTTGAGGTTGGTGTGGCCAACCTGCAAGGAGCAGCAGATCACCAATAAAACTTGTCATTTCCTGTTGCCAGTAGTAGTGAATTTAGGCTTGCAGCTGTTTTCAGGGGGGGACTGTTATCATACATGTAAAGTTTGGTACGCACGTGAGCATGACAACTTTTCATCGTCAATGCCTTAAGACTGCACAGCGAAAATTTTAATTGATCGTATTAATTCTCTAGGAGGAGTTTGTTAAAGTACGGCTACACGATGGAGTGTGCAGTTATACTCGTGCCGAAGGAGCTTATCTGAGATTAACTGAACTCCACAGTGTTCAAAGTCAATGTAAGCAACTCTTTTTCCTCTTGACTAGTCGAAGACTGTTGGCAGGTTACCAGCAGCTGAGCCTCATATCAGAGCTGTGGCGAGGGCTGGTGGTTCCACACCCCGAGGGTGATCCCACAGCGGGCAGCTTTCTGGCTTTTCATAACGTCAAAGCTGACACATTTGGTCCATTTCCTGTGTATTGTATTACTGTAGCTTCAGCTTCTAAGGCGAGTAACAAGCAAAGCACTCTGGGTCGTCGTTCCACGTTTACATTCGTCAGGTGTGAGGTGCAATAAGTGCTTTTCTGAGTGGAAGTGAGGCTGCAGCTAACTGAGGGGGAAACTGAGGCTCTGGTGAGGAGAAAAAGCAGCGGGCAGGTGTCTCTCTGCTGATTTTACACTTTCAATGTCCCAGTGGTCCCTGAAGGCAACAGTCTCACATCTGGCTGTTGATTTAGTCACAAAGCAGAATGTGGTACTAAAATGTTGTCTGTGATGATGAAAACATGCTTAACTTCCACTGCTGCTACCTTTACTACACCTACAGTATTACTGCAGATACTTATTATTACAGTAATAATATAGAGAAGTCCAAGTGTTGACCAACTGCATTGTACAAATAAATATTATGAAATATGCAGTTTTAAGGATTTAAAGGACATGATGACTGACTGAGACAGTAGCTGTAGTTTCACAGCATGCTCAAGTGTGTTTGACTGGTCTCTGGTCTTTGTGTTGGTCTGCAGGACTGGAGGATCCACGTGGACCAGATGCATCAGCACAGAGACGGGATCCAGTCCTCGCTCAAAGAGGCCAAGGTGCGTTCACTGACCTGGTTGTATAATAACAGCAGTGATGTCTGTTTAGCTGGTGTGTGTGGCTCCACCTGCTGTTTCTTATTTTAATTCTACATTGAAGAACTTTTTAAAATCGACCTTCCCTGCAGCAGAAGTGTTTACTGATTTGTTGCAGAATTGAGTGTTTTCATATAAACTCTACATTATTTTCCACTGGACCTCACCTGACAGCCACAGAAACAATCATTTCTTCAGTCTCTTCCAGGAAATAATCCCCCAGAAACAGCTAGAATACAGTAGAAATGTTCACAATATCCAGTTCTGTGTCTTCAAGGCGTCCTGCTGTCCTCTCCTGTCTCTGCAGAGCTACCTGGACAAACTGCAGGAGGACATCGGTAAGACTCTTGAGAAGGTGAGCAGCAGAGAGAAGTACATCAACAACCAGCTGGAGCATCTGATCCAGGAGTACCGCAGCGCTCAGGCCAAACTCAGCCAGGTAAACACCAACATCACACCTGCAGCTCAAACTGACGGACTGGGGCTTTTAGGAATGGGACAAAACACAGGAAACAAGAGAATAAATGTTGTTCTGTGCTGAGATACGTTCAGGGTTCAAACTGTAGCTGTCACCTCTTTCACATGTGGTCAAACTAAAGTTTGGAAATATAAATAACGTTTAGTTTAAGGAACAAACAGAAACCTGGTAACAAACCTGTGTTCCTCACCAGGCAAAGGAGCGCTACCAGCAGGCCAGTGGAGGAGTGACTGAGAGGACCAGAGTCCTGGCAGAGGTCAGTGAACACATCATACATTTTCATATCACTCTGCAGTCGATGTGGAGAAAAATCTCAAAGAATTTGAGGAAGAAACATCTTTAGAGTTTGATTTGGGATTCCTGGTATTCTCCAGGTTCTCCTCTGTTCTCGGTTGACAGATAAACGTCCTGAAGCATCTGTTATGTAACGTTTCGTCCATAGAGGCCGCTCAGCCCGGTTATGTTCCAGCTCAACAGCGGCGCCAATGTTGCTTCAAACTTGGCGTTATTCACAGACAGTTTGTAACCTTTTCTGTGTGTTTCAGATCAGCGAGGAGCTGGACAAGGTGAAGCAGGAGATGGAGGAGAAAGGCAGCAGCATGTCTGATGGAGGTGATACCGATACCTCTAGTTTTAGTTTGAAGAAGTGAACTGTATTTGGTTCTGACTGTGTGTCTGCGTTGGTCTTTCAGCTCCGGTGGTGAAGATCAAGCAGAGTTTGACCAAGCTGAAGCAGGAGATTGTTCAGATGGACGTGAGGATCGGAGTCGTCGAGCACACACTGCTGCAGGCCAAACTTAAGGAGAAGTCTAACATGACGCGCGACATGCATGCCACCAACATCCCCGAGCCCGCTGCCGGACCCTTCGCTTAGGTTCATCTCCACTTCGGTCCCTGTGCTTAGGTTTGCTTTCAAGCTGGCCTCCTGAGCCTAAAGAACAACACACACTTGTCTCCTTTATTTCTCTCTTGAACTAAAAGTGTTGAGTCTCATGAAGTCAGATACTTAAAACTTTTATTTTAAAACAGAAAATAAAACATTCCTTTTGTGTATTGACGGTTTGGGTCCAGCAGCATTAGGTCATAAAAAATTTAATTTCATCGCTTTGTCCCGAATGTCACTTATTTATTTAAGTATTTGCTTTATTTTATTTTCATAGTACTTGGTATAATCTTTTGTGTATATAAACATTAAATACAATTGTTATTTTAATATTTACTCAGTTTGACTCTTCTCTACCATCTTTCCCATCTGACCTGAACACCTCAAAGCAGGTTAACAACTGAAATGTCAAAACTGATGCACAACACAAGAGGGCGCCTTCATCCTGTTCAGAACATGTTTGAGGCTAATAAAAAGCTTTCTAGTAAAAGTGTATTGTGTCACACATCGTGGTAAACGGTGTCAAAGCACTAAAAGTGCAGATACAAACAATCTCTATTTGCTTCCTTAAAATATAGTCAGCTCTCTGTGTGAAGTTTCCCCACCTCGGTTTGCCACTCCCTGGGCACTGTCCCCAACTTCCAAGAAATATCGAAGAGGCGTATCATCCAAGACATCCCCTCCGCATCCAAAGCTTTCAGCATTTCTGGACAGATCTCCTAAATCCCTGGGGCTTTTCCACTGGGAGGTTGACTACCCCAATGACCTCCACCGGGGAAATTGATGATCCCCCATCAGCCTCCAACTCTGCCTCTGCCATAGAGGGCATGTTTGTGGGATTAAGAATTTCCTCAAAGTGTTCCTTCCACCGTCCTATTACCTCCTCAGTAAAGGTCAACAGCCAGGGGGGCCGCCAGGAATTTTGGGCCCTATGCCAAAAAACTCAAATTGGACCCCCTCTGCACAGATGTTGTCACCACTTCTCTAGGCCTTAACTGTCCCATCAAAAGCTTTACATAACTCTAATTAAAGGCTTGCAAGTGTCTGGCTTCTTGTAGTTCAAGATTAATACTACCACAATATGTACTGCTGGAGATTTGTACGTGCAAGTCTGCATACAGGATGCAGTTCACTATTTCCTTCTCAAATAAATTGCCCTTCATGATGGGAATAATAAAGTCTGTATCTATAGATAGATCAGGGGCCCTTGGAATTGTCCTTACTTTTCCCCCCTATACGGCGGCCATGTCAATGGCGTCCCATCTTGACTGTACGTAGCTTGGATGGTTCCCCGTTTCCCTTGAGTTGGTGGATTGTTTTCCAGAAGCACCTTGGTGCCAACTGAAAGTCCTTCTCCAGCCAACCACTTGCTGCTCTGCCTCTTTCACGGCAGAGGCCTCTAGAGTCCAAGTGGTCTAGGGTGCTCTGGTACCGCTTACACTTAGGAGCATCCTTATGTTTGAACATGGTGTTATAGAAAATCCATGACTAGCACAGAGGTCTAACAACAAACACGCTCAGGTTTAGATCAGGGGGCCTGTTCCTCCCAATCACGCCTCTCCAGGTGTCTCAATCATTACCCATGTGTGCATTGAAGTCTCTCAGCAGGACTACGGAGTCCCCTCTCTGAGCCCCATACAGGACTTTATTCAGGGTCTCCAAGAAGGCCGGATACTCCGAACTGTTGTTTGGTGCATATGCACATACAACACTCAGAGTTCTCTCCCCCGCCACCTGTAGGCGTAGGGAGGTGAGCTTCTCGTCCACCGGGGTAACTCCTACATAGCAGCGCTCAGCCGGGGATCTGTGAGCATCCCCACACCCGCCTGGCTTCTCACACCGTGGGCAACTCCAGAGAAGAATAAAGTCCATCACACTGTCCAGGATCTTCCAGAACCGAGGTAAGCTCCACCAGATCTAACTGGTAGCTCTCCACCTCCCGCACAAGTTCGGCTCCTTCCCCCACAGAGAGGTGACGTTCCACATCCCCAGAGCCAGCCTCAGCTGCCCGGGTCTGGTCCGTCAAGGCCCCTGACCTTCACTGTTACCAGTGTAGCAGCGCACCTGACCCCTGCGGTTCCTCCAATGGGTGGTGGGATGGAGAAGAGGGTGCCACGTTGCTTGTTTGGGATTAGCCCAACTTGCCCCCCTGACTCCAGAGGGGGGCCCTGGTCTTCCTCCAGACAGGGTCACTTCTCCTCATCCTTGATTTATCTTTTGTCATTTTGAACCATTTTTAGTCTGGACCCTCCCCCGAGACCACTTTACCATGGGAGACCCTACCAGAAGCACCAGGCTCCAGACAACACAGCCCTCAGGTTCATAGGGACACCAAAACCTCTCCACCACGATAAGGTGATCACAGCTCCAAGATATTTAAACTCCTGACAGTTTCTACAGCGCAGCCAGTGATGGTCGAAGGTTGAAGTTGATCACGTGAGTCTTGTGTGTTGCTGGATTTGATATTTTCTTTGGTTTCACAGACATTTATTAAGACACTCTCCTCACACCACTGCTGCAGAGAAACTACATGACTAAATTATGATATCATAGCACACTGTAGGAAGTTGGGGTGGGAAAGTGGAGGTCAACAACCAAGTTTTATGCTGAAGCCTGTCAGGCCAAACAATCAGAAAATGTCGGGTTAAAACAGACAACATCAGAAAGGCTGATTGGCCGACCAGTCATCCGGTGCAACATCCGGCTTTCAACATTAGTTCACCAGCTAACGCGACCCATATCATTATCCTGTGTCCCACCGCATTAAGTCAAAGTGTTGATTTTAGCCTTAAGGATGTAACAGTACAAAGCAAATGTGGAGAGATTTGTTTATACTAGCCTATATGTCTGTGAAGGTTCTCAGTTATCCAGGTCACAGTTATCCAAGGAGGATTAAAATCAGGGGTAACTGGACTTGGTTGAAGATACTAGAAGACATTTTATCCCTCATCCAGGAGACTTCTTCAGTCCTTACTGACTGGTGGGGAAATCAGATATTTAACCTTTGTGAAGTCGTTGGGCAAGATAATCGATCCCGCTGGTTGCTCCAGGTTAAGAAGCTGATTTTCCCTACCAGTCAGTCAGAAGCTTCCATATACACTGCTCAAAAAAAACAGGGGAACATTTAAATCACAAATCAGATCTCAATGAATGAAATAGTTTGAAATCTTTACTGTCCATTGTATAATTTGTTGTTAACAAAATTACATAACAGTTTATGGAAACCAAAATCGCCAACTGATGAGGGCTGGATTCAAAATCACACCAAAAATCAAAAAGTAAAAAACTTTAAATCACAGGCTGATCCAATTTGTGTGGCTTTCATCATGGCGACTTGATGGTGGATCTCCTCCCAGACCTGGATCAGGGCATCAGTGAGCTCCTGGACAGTCCGTGGCGCTACTTGGTGGCGTGAGATGTACCAATACAAAACGTCCCAGAGGTTCTCAATTCAGGTCTGGAGAACAAGAGGGGCAGTTAGTGGCATCAATGCCTTCGTCATCCAGGAACTGCCTGCACACTCTGGCCACGTGAGGGCGGGCATTGCCCTGCACCAGGAAGAACCCAGGGCCCAGTGCACCGGGGTAAAGTCTGACAGTGGCTCTGAGGATTTCATCCTGGTACCTAACAGCAGTCAGGGTACCATTGCCCAGCATGTGGCTGTCTGTGTGAACCTCCAAGTGTATGCCTCAATCACTGACCCGCCGCCAAACCAGTCATGCTGGATGATGTTGCAGGCAGCATAACTTTCACCACGGCATCTCCAGACTCTTTCACATCTGTCACGTACTCAGTGGGAACCTGCTCTCATCTGTGAAGAGAACTGGGCGCCAATGGCTGACCAGCCAATTCTGGTGTCCTCTGACGAAAGCCAACTGAGCTGCACAAGGCTGGGCTGTGAGAACAGATCGCATTAGAGGACGTCGGACCCTCATGCCACCCTTATGGAGTCTGTTCCTCATAATTTGGTCAGAAAGTGAACACCAGTATTTCGCTGGTCATTTTGTAGGGCTCTGGCAGTGCTCCTTCTTTTACTCCTCACACTAAGGAGCAGATGCCGCTCCTGCTGCTGGATTTATGCCCTTCTTCTGCTCTTCAATTGCACCAAAACAGGCGACATTGATTCATAATTGCTTATGCTTCCTAACTGGACAGATTAATATCCCTGAAGTTTAATTGACTTGGTGGTATATTGTGATGATTAAGTGTTCCCTTATTTTTTTGAGCAGTGTATTTCCTTGTTCCCTCCCCTTCAGATCTACAGTTTGAAGATGGGTGTAGCAGTATGTGCAGGAGCTGACAGACCCCATTCACTGCAGAAACACATGCTGTTCAGATCAGAGCTCGAACTACTTTCACTTCTGAGAAAGTGAAACTCAGACAGTCGTTGCCACTGAGAGATGAAATGGCGCAGAAAGGAGTTCAGCTGGACCGGGAAACCTTCTCTTGTTCCATCTGTCTGGATCTACTGAAGGATCCGGTGACTATTCCCTGTGGACACAGCTACTGCATGAACTGTATTAAAACCCACTGGGATGCAGAGGAGGAGAAGAAAATCCACAGCTGCCCTCAGTGTAGGCAGACCTTCAGACCGAGGCCAGTCCTGCTGAAAAACACCATGTTAGCAGTTTTAGTGGAGGAACTGAAGAAGACTGGACTCCAAGCTGCTCCTGCTGATCACTGCTATGCTGGACCTGAAGATGTGGCCTGTGATGTCTGCACTGGGAGAAAACTGAAAGCCCTCAAGTCCTGTCTGGTCTGTCTGGCCTCTTACTGTGAGAAACACCTCCAGCCTCATTATGAATCCCCTACATTTAAAAAACACAAGCTGGTGGAGCCCTCCGAGAAGCTCCAGGAGAACATCTGCTCTCGTCATGATGAGGTGATGAAGATGTTCTGCCGTACTGATCAGCAGAGTATCTGTTATCTCTGCTCTGTGGATGAACATAAAGGCCACGACACAGTCTCAGCTGCAGCAGAAAGGACCGAGAGGCAGAGAGAGCTCAAGGTGAGTCGCCAAAACATCCAGCAGAGAATCCAGGACAGAGAGAAAGATGTGAAGGTGCTTCAGCAGGAGGTGGAGGCTATCAATGGCTCTGCTGATAAAGCAGTGGAGGACAGTGAGAAGATCTTCACCGAGCTGATCCGTCTGATGGAGAAAAGAAGGTCCGATGTGAAGCGGCAGCTCAGATCCCAGCAGGACACTGAAGTGAGTCGAGTCAAAGAGCTTCAGGAGAAGCTGGAGCAGGAGATCACTGAGCTGAAGAGGAAAGACGCTGAGCTGAAGCAGCTCTCACTCACAGAGGATCACACCCAGTTTCTACACAACTACCCCT